AGCACAGCAATCTGCAGGACCAGACAAGAGGTGCAGAATAAAGGTAAGAATGGTTGAAGTGCACAGTGAACTACTTTGCAAGGGCACAGGTAAAGAGTAGAAATGTTATGATAATCCTAAACAAAACGTCACTGGGATTTATAGACATTTAATAGGATAGCAGTCTCATTCTAAGGAAAACTATCCTCATTATGACCCTGAAGCTTCCCCAGCTACATTAGCCAGCTGCCTTCTTTTGGATTAATTACTGCATTTTGGCATAATTCTGTGGACCAAGATGAGGAGAGAAAATACATCCTGTGAGGTTTTAGCCATAATTTGGATGTTGCATTTGTGTTTGAGATTTCACAGAAATTATTTGTTCAGCCCCTTTTTAATATGTTGCAGCTTAAAAAAAACCCATGTCTTACAAGTCCTACATTTTTCATATTCCTAAAGCCAGCTATCTGAAAGCCAGAAGCAGTGGTTAATCCACTGGGTATTGGCATAAAAAGCAAAGATATATATCTATCCCATATCTAACACAGGAAACATTGTGTAGGAATTGTCCATACAAGGCATGTGGGATGTGCCAGGTTTGTGCTACTTACAAAAAACGCACTTGGGATCACATTGTCTCCATGACAACTGCTTGTACGTATTAATAATTTGTTGTGCACTTAAACAGAGCTTATGGAAAGGACTGAATAATAGGAGTTTTTCCAAAGAAAGCACTTGTAACACAAGCTGTGCTGATGAGCGTTACACCAGCAATCAGCGAGCCTAAAGCCTCCCAGCATGAGCTTAGCAGGACATTTCACAGATGCTTATGTTATCTGTTTAAAAGGAAGGAATTTAAGGATGGGCCCAAGTATCTTTTGAACTGGGTCTCTACTCGAGACTCTCAGTGCTTCTGTCATGTTTGGAAAGTGAGTTAACTTCAGTATCTGTTTCCTCATCGGGCTGAAATCATGTATTTGTGCATCTGGCGATAAAGTGATATTATTTGTCCTGGCAGAGGTGGTGTTTGTCCAGTATTCCAGAGATTAAAGCTGGCAGATGATCGGTAGGAGGAACGTGGCCCTGTGCTCAGGTGCACAAGGATGTACCCGCTGCTCCAGAGCTCCTGCCCAGCCAGGCTGGACACGGAGAGTTCAGTGCCACGGTCACGGGGGGAGAGCAGGAAAAAAAAATACTTGGGAAATATTAAGCACCTAACATTGGAGAATCATCACTCTATTCCTAGCTTTTAAAAGACTCTTGACTGTGAAATATCTGTAACCATAGTGATTTGAAAATGTGATTTTCATGGTTACTCTGTAATTTCATCTTTCAGTAAGACACTGCACTTCTTGCTTTATCTACCACACAAGCGTGAATGATGAACTAGCAGATTTCAGCAATATGTTTTGTGGCATGCAAGGTGATTAATAATGAGATTCTATCTTTTACAGAAGCCATTCCGTTGAAGTGAGTGGGCCACTGTTCACAGTGGTATTATTGATGTCACTGATTTTGTCATGTACTATCTGGACTCTGAAATCAGTCAAATATACAGAAATAGTATTTGCTTGTAATGATGTAATAAATACCTGATGTAAAAGTGTTCTGCTTTTCTTTTGGTCTTTTGGTCTTTTGCATCTTTAAGATGACAGGCTTATCTGATTTAATGAGACTATTAAGACACAAAACATATATTTTATCCAGTAGTGGCCAGTATCTGAATATGCAAGAGATTACATGATGTGTACTTCTGAATTTATTTGATCAGCAGTCCCTTTCCTCATAGAGGCAGTTGGCTTCCACACTAATGTACCAGTGTCTATATTCTTTGCTTGCAGAAATACATGTATTAATCAAAGTTGGCAGGCCTACATCTAAAGGTGGCAGCTCATTGTTACACTATTGTATAGCCTTTAAATTGTATAGTATAGTCTTTATATTGTATTGCATAGCCTTAATTCTGCATTTAGTATTAAAAAACCACAGCAACAGACATTTTGGACGTGCATTGATGGATAATTTAGAATCACTAAAATATTCAAAGAGAGAGTCAGGTGTGAAGAAACTAATTTACGTATTCCTTACTCTACAATGCTAAGTTGACAACACATTGTATAGTTGGACGGTGTGATATAAATCTACATAAATCTGCATTTAAACACCGATGTCTCATAGTACAATGGAAATGCTGGTGATACAAGATAAGATTATTGCAGTTGCTAACACCCTCATCCATGAGTTTCAAATTCATTTCAGACTAGTAGAGAATTAGTTGGCACTATAGGCTAACAGCTGAATAACCTACAGTGGGATGTGTGTAAACAAAAGTGCAGTCAGCCTGACCAGTTCACCTCTCTCCAGAATGTCACACGTGTGACACACTGGTCCCTGACTCGGGTGTCAGCACAGCAGTGTGGCCTCCATAGCCCTGACTCACTGGGGCAGCCACGCCCAGGCAGCTCCTTAGGTACAAACCACACACATGCCGGGCATATATTCACATACTAAATACGATTTATTACTGCCATCTCACAGGTTACAGTTTAATCTTGTGTATCTGAAGCCCTGACAAACACCCAACTTATGCAACACAGCACGTATCCTTTCATAATTACATTCTCCTCTGAAGGCTCAGATAAATATCTAAGAGAAAAGCAACTGTGCTTCTCTAAACAATTGATTGTCATTCTCAAGTCAGAGGGAGGAAGGAGATCTGATTTCTGATCCACAATTCAAAAGAGTAGGAGGATAAAATACAGAGTTAATGCTTGGAGTGGAGATGGAAACCAAAGGTTTTCCCTTCTCTGTGTGTCCAGATAAATGAATCCTGAATTTCCTTTGCAGAGTCCTGAATTCTCCTGTAGTGAGTGGCACAGCTTCAGCTTTCAGCCACAATCAGGGAGTGCTGAATCATCTACCCCTTCCCAAGTGGAGTTTCTCTAAAAAATAGCTATATCACTGAGCCTTTTCAAGTGTTCCTTTCTTTACCACTACGCTCCTGGGAACCATCACAAGCGCTCTGAAGACAGCAGTGATTGTTAATCTGTGAGGCGTCCAGCCTGGTCCACACTAGCAGGAAGAAACTATTAACTTGGCTTGTTTGCCTACAAAACTGCAACTGAAATCCTGCCATGTTTTATCTGGTAGGTGTGAGGAAAGCACAGCTCGTGTAGATGGTTTGCAGTGTGATCCTCAAATATGTAATTATGCCAGAAAGTCAACAGTTATTAAAGAAAATGAACTTTAGCTTGGCAAATTACACAAGAGTTGATGTTATTGTTTCAAATTCTTTGCATTTATTTTGCTCAAGACTATTTTGGGAAAATGTGCTGCAGAGTGAATTCTTGAAACCTATCACTTCTCAATGAATGGTATTTTTCCTTATACAACTTTAAGCACAAAACTAAGGTCATCTGAAGATGGCAACCTATGTGAGAACAGCAAAATTATTTTGGAAGATAAACAAAACCTAAGTGAGGCAATTCAAACCAACTGATGTCTAGCAGGAGAGTATGACACCAAGAAACCGAGACTGACCCATGAAAGCAAACATTCCTCACCCCTTGCTCACTATGGAATTCTTAATTTCCTTCAATAGTAGGCAAAGAATTTAACAAGTCAGACTCCATATTACGCAAGTGATGACAAAGACAATTAACACAAATTAACTAGGAAAAGTCATTGTGCCCTCTTGAAATTAGCAAATCAATATTTTATCAACATTTTGACCCATTTAAGTGAAAAAATATTAAACTGATAATTTCATGCCTTTTGTAAGTTATTTAGGTGAATCTTCCTCTATAATTTAAGATGCAGATTGCAATAAAATACATAATTCATTAAAAATTGGTTCTGCCTATTTCCTACATTCTTTTTAATTGCAATTTATCTGTGTCTTACTGAAATATTTTCCCTTAGGTAGCAAGTGTCTGAGTACAATAAGATAGCTGAGGTCACCACTAGTTTCCTGAAAAAAAATACCACCTTCCTGAAAGTTTCCTGAAAGGTCTACCACTAATTTCCTTTACTGAACACTTACACTGCAGTTCATTCATAGCTTCTATCTAAAAAGGTCATTATAAACTCTGGACTTCCAGGAACTCTTTCAGTATAAATGGTTTTAAAGGAATGCAGCACAGCCTTTTTAACCTAAGCACTACGTGGTGGTACAATTACGATAGTAGTTAATGCTCATTATTTAGAACTGAAAGCTTTATTTCAAAGTACCCAACAGCAGCAGTACCCTCCACCTCCCTCTTCTCTGACGGACACAGTCACCGGGCTCAGGACCGCAGCATCACTGAATTGTTCGGGTCGGAACGGAGACCAGCCAGTCCGACCCATCGGCCAGGCCGGGTCACCTGGAGCAGGGGACACAGGAACGTGCCCAGGGCGGGTTTGAAAGCCTCCAGAGAAGACTCCACGTCCTCCCCGGGCAGCCCGTTCCAGTGCTCTGCTGCACACAACGTAAAGTTCTTTCTCGCGGGGAGGTGGAACTTTCTGTGTTTTAGTTTACGGCGAGTGCTCCTGTCCTGTCTCTTGGCACCCGCCTCGGAGATACCTATATGCATTAATTGTAGGGAGAACCACAAACACTGCGGAGCCGCACAAAACCCTCGCAAACATCGTCTCCCGACCCGGCAGCAGGCGCTTGGCAGCCGCGGGCCCTGCCCAGCCTGTGCCCCGGGAGGAGCCGGCGCGCAGCACCCGGGCACGGGGGGGGCCGGCACCGCCATGCCGGTGACCCCTCACGGCAATGCCCTGGCTCCGCCGCGCCCCTCAGACGGCCCCTCCGTGGGGAGAGGGCCAGCCCCCGGGGGCGCAGGAGTAGACCCGGGAAGGAGAACCGGGACGAAGGAGAACCGGGACGAAGCACAGCGTCCCGCCGCTCCCGGGGCGCGCTCACCGCGCTCACCGCCCCCTCCCCTCAGAGCGCACTCGCGGCCCCGCCCGGGCGCCGCGCACGCGCCGTCGGCTCCCGCGGCGTCCCCCTCCCCGCGGTGGGGCCGGGGCGGTGACGTCAGCAGCGGCGGCCATTACACGGTGCGGAGCGAGGAGCGGCAGCGCTGCCGCAGCCGGAGCGCCCCGGGCCGCCCTCTCCCCGCGCCCGCCCGCCCTGACGCGTCGCGGCCGCCGCCGCTGTGGGGAGCGCGGATCGCAGGGACCCGCGGGGCGGTGCGGCAGCAGCAGCAGCCGGTGAGGAGGAGGAGGGGGAGAGCGGGATGGAGGAGAAGGTCTTCACCAAGGAGCTCGACCAGTGGGTGGAGCAGCTCAACGAGTGCAAGCAGCTGTCCGAGGGGCAGGTGAAGAGCCTCTGCGAGAAGGTGAGTGGCGAGGGGCGGCGGGGGCGGTGCCGCTCGGGCGGGCGGGCGCGGGGCTCGGGCGGGCCGGGCCCGGCGGGGAGCGGGCCGGGGCCGGGGCCGGGCGAGCCGCGGCCCCTCGGCTGTGCCGGAGCTCGGCTCCGCCTCCCGCCCGCTCAGCGCCTCCTAAAATGGCGCCGCGGCCGCGATGGATCCCTGGGAGAGACCCCCGAGAGACCCCCCCGGTTAAAGCGTTAAATCAGCCCCCAAAAGCGTGAGTTAGTAAAATGAAAAGAAAAGCTTGTGGTAGGCGCTTGGAAATTACACGCGGTAAAGAGCTGCTTGCTTTGATTTTTTTTTTTCTTGTATCTTTCATGATATGAATAAGCGCAGACACGTTTATAACTAATTGAAGGGTAGATTAGCTTTGGGGTTTTGTTTTCCCTCAATAGGGTTCTGGGTTTCACGAAATTCACAGAATAAACATTCGAGATCCAATATAATTCCGTATTTTATGGTGATGGTTTGAGACGTGGATGTTACAGGGCAATGTGTTGATTGAGACATTCATAGCTTAGAAAGGTTGTAAAGCCAACCTAGGACAGATTGCATTTTGTAAATGCAGGAAAATTTTGTTCTGATATCATCCAGAGGCATTTTCCAGTCGAATTCTGATTCTGGATGTAACTTAATAGTTGAGTGGTGGTGGTGGTGGTGGTGGTGGGTTTTTTTGGGTTTTTTTGTGGTGTTTTTTTTTTGTTTTGTTTTGTTTTTTTTTTTTTTTTTTATTACTGATGATTTTAGGTATTTCTAGCCTGAAAGATGGAATACTTACAAATTTTTTGGGAACTGGATATCAAGGAATATATGAAGTGATGGATGTACTGGCTTCTAAAGAAGCTTATGTACATGCCACAGAAAGTACCTAGAATATTTTAAAATTGGAATCATGTTTTCACATACTACACCAGGTTGTTTTGGAAGCAAATTGATTTGAGATGACTGTCCATGACCTTAATAAAGAACTTGCAGTGATTTTGACCAGACCAGCTCTTGCTCCAGTACAGATTTTAGTTCACTTGTATTCCAGCAACTCAACCCTGTTTCCATTTGATCCAGGCTGTGTATTTTAAAGGCTGTTGCAAGCAAGTGGCAGTGTCACCGCCTAGCTATTTCCATGTGCATCTCCAGTGACAGCAGTCCAGCTGCTTCCTTGTGTTGCTTTGTGTGAGAGGCAAGTATTTCACTTGCCATCGTTTATAAACTGATGGGTACTGAGTCCTGAATCCCACAGGAGTGGGTGTATATGGCCCCATTTTGTGGAGCTCTATGGTAACTTGCAGGACCATGAGGGATGTATAATGTACAAAAAGTTTTCGATGTACTGGGGGTTTTGGTTCAGTGAGAAGCGGGCATACCACAAGACATTCCTTACAGAAGATACAGTCCCAGTCATCAGTGTTGCACAAGATGACATTATCATTTTTTCCCAGTGAAGAATGGAAATGAGCTGCATTTATGGATAAATGTGTAATGCTCATCACCAGGATGATGGTAAAGGAAAAAAAGCAAAGAAAACTTTGTGTCTGCTTCTGTGTGTTGGGATGAGAAACCATGAAACTGTGGAAGAGAAATCTGCCAATCACAATGTTCTTTGGCAGCAGCCTTCCCGTTGGCTGGGCTGGCCCTGGGGGAGCTCTGGGTGGGGTAGCAGTTCTCTCTGTGTGCCCAGTGTGTGGTCAGCGCTGTGCAGAGTTCCGCCACGGGGCTGGTGATGTCAGGGAAAGTTGATTTGTTGCTGATAACTACAGGTGGATTTACTTGGACTTTCTGCTAAGAGTAGTTAAGTTTCTTCATGGTTGCTGATGGAAGGAGTTGGAAGTAGGCCTTTGAACTCTGAGTTTTCCATCTTCTTTTCTCCACTGTGTTCATGGAAGTGGGATGAGAGCTCAGTTCTGCACCTTTGTTCTGATGGACAGCACTTGCTTTAATGTGTTTCCATGTTCCCAGCACTGACTTTCAGAAATCTCACTGGATTGTTCTTTGTTTGGACTATTTAAGTAGTTTTGTGGATGTCATCACATCAAAAGGCTGGCTTTCATGAATAGCTTAAGGACAGTGTCAAATGCAGCTATTGTTCCAAAGCACAGATAAAGACCCTACTTAGGTATAGTGTGGTGTTCTTCACCATATTGAATTGCAACTAGGGCTAGTTAAAATAAACAATTTTTAAAAAATTGAGGGCTTTTCCTGATAACACTGTTTGATTGGATGATCTCCCTGACAAGTATTTCTTGATCTGCTGGGGCTTCCAGTGTGCAGACTGGTGCCTGTCTAATGAGAATAAGCCTGAGGGCTCTCTTGTATTTCAGTATTGATAACTGAATAAATTAACAGATTTTTATAAACATAATAATTGTGGACATTTATGCATCCCAGTTACTTTCTTGGTGTGTCTTCCACTGAGCCTGGTTACCTGGGTGATGGTGGTGGTGGGAACTGGGCAGAAACATCTTCGAAGTCTAGAAGTAATTTGTAACCATGAATAATACATTATACTTTCACAAATGATTTGAAATAATCAACCTCTGAGTGGCAGTTAAATGATTCTAGGCTTAGTATGTGCTGTGTGTTTATGCTACATCCGTTGAGTGGCCGACTATGTGTGTTTTGCTTCAGCATTTGAGAAATGGAAGTTCTAAAGAAATGGTCAAAATATACCCAGTCCAGTTACTGTTACATGTCAGCAGTGTTTGTCCTGTTAGTGCTGAGTTGTTTATTGGCAGAGGTGAAAGGAAGTCCTTTATTGCCAGGTGAGAGTTTTTCCACTGGCCATTTTGAATGAAAGGATGCTGGTTTAGTTTCTTTCCCATACATTGTGATGGTGAAGGGAAATGGTCTTGTCTCTGTGTGTAGATGCCCTTTATCACAGGAACTGGGGGTGTGGCACATTGCTCTGGAAGGTGGGATGACAGTCTAAAATTGCACAAAGGAATGAGGTGAATTTTTGTATAGGGTTTGCTTTGGTTGTTGCAGAAAGTATCTAGTGCAGGTGTAGGCAGGGGTATCAGAGCCACTCCCTCAAAAACACTACTCTGTAATTTAGTGAGTTTGAGTGTGGCATCTTCAGTTTTTGGAGAGAGGGAAGAGTATTTGGTCATATATTACTGTGTAAAGGGTTTCAGGGTTCTTGAATTGCTAGTGAAATGACTTGGAATAGATAGTGCTGCTAGCCAAAATATTTTCAACTAAGTGAAGGGCTGATACTGGTAAAGGCATTCAAGGTTTGACTCCTGCAGTTTTTGATCTGTAACAATGATGTTGGTTACATTTGCTTTTTGATTTGTCACCATTGCTACTTTTATAGTGTAGATGTGTTTCCGGGCTGTACTGTTCTCTGGTGCGTACCTTGTTCATGGTGTATTTTTCTATTTTTTTTTCCTGTTGTAGAATTTTCATTTTAATATCTGGTCTTCCAAGTTAGATGTTCTGTAACCAAAGGTTACCCACTGCAGCTGTGTGAGTTACGCAAACTCATTTAGCTTATGTTGAGTGACTTAATTCTGAGAGGACAAGTATGTTTCTGATGAAGCTTTCTTTTAGGTCAAAAAAAGCCTGTGCAATCAAAGTTCAGTTCCTGAAATACATTAAACTTACATGTTCTGTGGATCCCACTCCTGTGTTTTAAGCTGAGCTGTCCGTCCAACTTCTTTTTCAGAGGCACATGTTCCCTTCTGCTTCCTATGCTGTTCAGGAGTTGCCTTTCTTAGCTGATTATTTTGGCCAGAAGTGGATGTTTTAAACTATTTCCAGCTGCATTTGCAGAGGCTTTTCCATTAGCTAGCTTTTGTATTCCCATATCCATCATGTATAACTAACTATTCTTCAGACTAAGATGATTGTGAAAATTAATGTTCCTGTCTGAACTTGCTGTAAATCAGCCAAGAAACCTGCCCTAACAGAATTCCCAGGTAGTGAGAGTATGCCCTGAGTGGTGGGCTGTGCATTAGGCAGGTTCTGTGTTCCTCTGCCCCTGGCAGAAGAGGGATGTGCAGTGTTGCAGTTGTGCCGTGCCACTGCCCTGGCTCCTGCATTCTGTAACAAGGGAGTGCTGCTGCCAATGGCGGGAGGGCCCCTCAGCAGCTGTTCGAGGGGCTCCTTTGTTGAACATACCTAGGGGTCAAGTCATTGATGGGGCCATGTAGTTATACCTTCTATCTCTGAAGAGTTACAAGTGTAGTGTACAAAGCCTTTTGTAACACTTAAATGACTGTGTTTTAGATTATTCTTGAAGACTTTAAAAAAATCATTTGATGCCCAGTGTTCTGATTTATTGTGAGTTTTTTTCGTGTTTTTTTTTTTTTTTGTGTGTTTCATTTTATTTGTTTTTTTGTTATGGTTGATAATGAAAAATGGAAATTGTCTCTTTCCACAGAAGGCATTTGAAATGTCAGACTCGCCAGCCTTTTCACCTTGTCTGGATTCACATAGAACATCTTGATGTACATATAAAAATTTAGGCTTGAATGTGCCAGTGATTGTGCCATCAGCAGCTTTCTGGGTTGGGTTTTTTTTCAATTATAGTAAATTCTGTAAAAAATGAGTTGTGCTAGCAGTGCGGTGTTTGGCTTTGGTTTTTTGCTTTTTAGTTGCAATATTAGTTGTGATCAAGTAGGAGTGAAAGATACTTGTGCTGTTTCGGGCATAGTTTAAGCTAACAGCAGGAAGCACTCCTAAGTCAGACAAAGTTCCTACTCGAGTTCTGCCAGTTTGAGGCTGAAGACATGGATGAGGCTCCAGGAATGATGTCCTCTTCCAAATCTACCTGTGCTGAGGCTGCTGCCTCCTCAGATGTGATGACAGTACTGCTCTGTGATCGCTTCGAAGCCATTTCCCTGGGTTGCCTTGCCCAGCACAAAACCCAAACCTGTGTGGCTGTGTCTAGCCTTGTACAGCAGATCTGTGTGAGGGGAATCACAGGAGCAGGGATTGAATTTTCACTCTTGCTTAGGAACCCTTAAACA